CTGTCATCGCCGCCGCCGTCTTCGTCGTCGTCTGGCTCTTCGAAGTTGCGGGCAGCCTTGGAGTGGATCTTGAATGCAAAGACATACCACGTAGTTGCACACGCCGCCGTGTAAATGCGGAAGTGGTACTTGCCCAAAGGTTTCTTGGGATTGTAGACGATAAGCGCACGCGCATAACTTGAACGACACGGAATGCATGCTTCGTCCACGCTGATCTCGCGGCCGGCCACGACGAAGTTCTTGAACGATGCCTTCAACAGGTTGATGAGCGGCCTAATGCGCCAAAGTGGGTCTGCGGGCTCGACCACGTCGTTGAATGTGATGCACGCCCGCAATTGCTTGAATCGGTCGATCGGCATGACGCGGCCGAAGTTCTCCGTCGGCGGCATGAGGAACGACATACTCGGCTTTGACCAATACAGACTGTACTCACCACCTTGCACGACACTCATCATGATAAGCAGGCCCACAAACTTCATGACTTCCACCAGCTCGATGCTTTTCTTGAACTCGCGCCCACCTACGTAGCCCTTTGGATGCGCTGCTTGCAGCGCCACGGCCTTGGCGTTCGTTCGCAACGTCACGATCTTCCAAAATTCCAGCGGCATGAACCCCAGGAAATCTTTGACGGGGTCCTTGAATAGATGCTTGAACTCTTCCGAGATACGCAACTCGTCCACGGGCGTGTCGTCCTTGTTGTCTTCGTGTTCGTAGAGGTCTGTGGGCCCGGCGTAATGTCCTCCGCACGTCCATTCCACGTCTTCGAGTCCTTCAAAGTCTTCTGTCGCGTCGTAGTGCCCGTGCTTCTTCCAACCACGGTCCACGTACTCGGACCACTCGTCCTCGCTGCCGTCGTCGTCTTGCGGCGCCAAACTGCCGTCGTTGGTTTCTTCGTCGCTCTTGGTCTCTTCGTCGAATGAACTGTTCGCAATGAACTTATTGTCCCGCTCGGTAAGGTCGTGCGACTCGTCCTCGGACTTGAGGAGATTTGCAGGTAACTTCGTCCCGCGTTCATACGTTGGCTCGCCTTCAAAGTCGCAAAGTGTTCCACACCTAGAATGCATAAGAAAGATACATGAACACGCAACACACCTTTGTAAAACAGGCGCGCAGTAATCCACGGCTCGTCGCGCTGAAACCGTGTGTGATTCCAAGTGATCTTGTACAATGCCACCATCGCCTTGGCCTCGGCTTTCGTGTTCTTGCCCGGCGTGTCGATGTCGGGATCTTTCTCGCTGCCAACAACGTAGCGCACTTCGGTGACCACACCACTTAGCATGAAGTTTTGGTAAGCCGCGTAGAAGGCAAGCAGCTTCTTGTCGTTCTTGTGGATTTGCGTCTCTCGTAGCGGCCTGAACGACACGTTACGAAACATTGTCTCGGATCGAATGGACTTGTGGTCGGGTGTAAACTCGGATACCCGACTGGGATCGGCGTGACGTCCACCTCTGACGGCGTTGACGGCATGTTGGCACTGACGATGACTTCGGTGGCCGCCCTCGCTTCTTCGGTGTAGACTCGCCTTGCACATCTTGCACCTTCGCCTTGTTCTTCGCTCCCTTCGGACGTCTTCGCTTCTTCACAGGTGGCGGCACGTCTTGCGCTGATCATGGCACCGCATGCACAGCACACAGTTCTTGACCTTCTTCCGCTTCGGGCCACCCGTTCCTCGCGGCTTCTTCCACGATGCACATATGATGGAACTTGGACGAACACATGTTGCACTGTCGGAGGGTTGGGCCGTCGTCGGCGCCGCTGAACACGCTTCCATGACTTCGCAAATTGCAAAATGGCCACCATTAAAAGTTCCCGACCAATAGGGTGCCGTACAGAGTAAAAACCACCAATGATGACGAACTTGTTGTCCCATCGCTTCTTCAACTTGATTGCGTGATTACAACGGCTGCAAGGTCAAAGATTTGGGCATAGCCTCCGGCCGATTTCAAACAATGGGTCGCGAATGCACACGGAGTCGGCGAGGCAGAGGTCGGGACGGCGCCGGTGGTAACGGGGTCGCAGCAAAGATTTGGGCATAGCCTCCGGCAGACTTCAAACAATGGGTCGCGAATGCACACGGAGTCGGTGGCGGCGTGGGAGTCGGGATGGCGGGGTAGTCGCGACGGCGGCTCATGAAGTCAGGCGGCGTGGGAGTCGGGACGGCGGCTGCTCACAAGGACCTGTAGAATATACAAGACATCACATCACATATCTTGGCGTCAACGGCGATAACTTTTGGCATTTTTCATTTTATTATTTGCTCTACCAAGTATACTTAAGAATAATTATTAAATTATTGGACTCTCCCCACACGTCCGGGTTAATCACAAAATAAATAAAATAGTCCTTTTCGTCTAGCAGTCTGTTCCGCAACAGTTGTCACCTCCAACTTCTTATTGGCGGGATTTTTCTAATTTTACTCCAATTTTACCCCTGATTGGTGCATCGAACAGCGCAAGACCTCGGCTGATTGAATAGTTTCAGCGTGTTCTAGACCGTTTTGCTCGAAAAGTTACGCGACCCCAAAGTAAGCGGGAAATTGTTTTGAACTTTTTTTGTACGCAGTGCATTCATTATTCAATATTCCGACTTCAAACAACGTACCAATCCTTCGCTAACCTTGTGGTATGCCTCCACCATAACCGCGCCCCCCTCCAGACCCTTGAATGCCCCGGCACGCCGATTGGGAACGGTAGCTCACCTCACCAGCATGGAGCGTCATGCCATCTACGATACCCTTCTCGAAAGACCCGCAAGTGGCACACTGCGTCGTCGGGACTTCGTGGACGCTGCAAAGCAGTTCAACTGTCATGCACGCACTGTTTCGCGCGTGTTGTATCGTGGACGGGAGATGTCATGGCGGACGTAGCATCAAAATTACGTGGTTAAACCACTAGAAATTTGTATATATTTTCGTTTTCATAGATATCAATTTTATGCGTTGTACTATTTTAGGGAATTCTGGCAGTAAAAAAAGCGCTCAAAGGAAGAGATCGAAGAAATCATTCGACAAGTGCCGCACCACGACCGCCAAACCTTGCGCTCTTTGGCCAAAAAGTCGGGCATCGCCAAGACAACAATCGTGCGACACATGAAGGATAATCCGCGTTTGAAGGCTCGCTCAAGTTACGTCAAGCCATTTCTGACCCCGACGAACATTGAAGCCCGCCTACGTTTTGCAATGGGGTTCGTTCGACCCTTGCCAAATGGAACCTTTTCTTTTATCAGCATGGACAATTATGTCCATGTTGATGAGAAATGGTTCTATTTGACAAAGGTGAATCGAAGGTATTACGTGTACGATGATGAAGAAGTGGCGGCGCGAACTGTCAAGTCGAAGCACTTCATCACCAAGGTCATGTTTTTGGCGGCAGTTGCCCGCCCACGTTTTGACCCTCACACGAGGCGCGTTTTTGATGGCAAGATTGGCGTGTGGCCGTTCGTGGAGGTCGTGGCGGCGAAGCGAAGAAGCGTCAATCGCGACTAGGGAACCTTGGTAACTGTTCCCTTGTCTGTGAATGCTGAGGCGTACTACGATACTGTAGTTACTAAGGTTATTCCTGCTATTAAGTCGAAATTTCTTAGTAGCACTACTAGTAGTGGCAAAGTTATCATCCAGCAAGCCAATGCGAGCCCCCACAAGTGCGTGACCACAAGAAAGCTCGATGACCGTGGAATTAGTGGAATCGAAATTGCCAACCAGACTTCGCATAGTCCGTATTTTAACGTTCTAGACTTAGGATTATTTAATCTATTCAAAGTCTGCAGCATCATAAGTCAACTCGTTCAATGAGGAGCTTATCGATGCTGTGCAAGCCGCGTTCTATGAAATGCATGTTGCTACCCTCTCAAAAACATATATAACTTTGCAAAACGTTATGGAAATGTCGATTGCAATTCATGGAAGTAATAACTACAAGCATCCTCACATATATAATGACGCCAAGATAGCCGACCTCGCCTCGTACAATGTCAAGCGCGATGGAACAATCTATGAGAGCATCTACCAACCCTCAAAGTCATATAAAATTTATTTTATTATTAGTGATTATAGATTAATGGTAAATCCTTTGCCTTCCAAGCAAATATTATGGGTTCAAATCCCATTAATCACAAAATAAATAAAATAGTCCTTTTAGTCTAGTGGTTAGGACCTTGCCTTTTCACGGCAAAAACACGGGTTCGATATTGTGTGTCGATTTGGTGCTGCTCATTCCATTCAGCACCCCACTCCAATTTCGAATCGACTTGACAATATCACTCTTCGACTCTGGAACTCTACGTCGTTGCTCCATCCACATGATGGCCAGTCTATAAATAATGATCATATTACGCCGGCGTCCACTTTCTACATTGTGCTACGCTTCCCCCTTCACGTGGACGTGACTTGCAGTAGAAAAAGCTCAGGTCGAAGGTGAAATTTGCTCGTGCCATCCGAGAGTTTGCAAGGCATCCCCGACAGTGTAGAGCGATCCTGTGACGAGTACTCGTTCGGCCGCCTTTGTCCTTTTGCGTACCCACTCCAGCGCGTGCTTCATGGACGGAATGAACCGCGGGGGGGAGAAGGAGGGCTGTCCTTGCGATGCCTTCAAACGCATCCAAACAGTCGCGCAAACTTGCTGCCACTTCATATCCGTGTTCACTGGCAGTGCTGACGCTGCTGCCGCCGGCAGGGGAACGTCTTGTGGCAGGACATGGACGTGTTCTGGAACACTTCTTCCACCGTGGGTTCAAGGCGCCATCTATGAAACCGTGCCCATCATCCGGTTCTCAACCGGATGACTAGTCGTACCTCTTCAGTCAAACGTGTCCTTTCGTTGACCAATATGCCCTCTTGCGCGACCAAGGTGTTCTCCCAACGATACATCAATGGTTGGTTGGGTGTAGCTTAGTGATAGCGTAGTAGTCTTAACTGCTATAATTTTTGATTCTAACATCTTCTGCACCTTTCTCTGCGCACGCTCACACTTGGTAGTACTCCACGTTCGTCCAGTCGACCAAGACTATGTCCTCCATCAACACCGCAGCGCACCAGGCGGTCCTCGCACTTTTGCGTCGCGGTTTTGGCGACAACGATACTGCGCTTCTCCTCGGGGGGATGACTCCCGACAACCAAGCTCGCCTTGTGGAAGGCATCGGTAGCACGATCGAACTCTCGGTCGCCGAAGCTACTGCCACCCAGAAGGCATTGGAAGAACAAGTCGCTGAATCCTTGAATACTCTCTCCGCGTCGCTCGCGAGAAAATGGCGACCTTAAGAAGAGCAGGCTTCCACCATGATGACACATGGCCGCACCCTCCAAGATTCCCTGAGAATCGCTCAAGATGAGATTACGCGCCTCACGCGCGCTTTAGAGTCGAATACCTCATATCGGCTTCTCGTCTGAAGTTGATCAAGCTGGATGTTGACAAATTCGGCGAAGCGGAGTCCGAAAAACTCCTCCGCTGGCTTATACAAGTCAGTACTGTTGCTGACGCCCAACGTAACCCCGACGACGCCACCCGTGTGGCTTTCGCGAGGTCGCACTTGAAGGGTCGCGAGGAAGATTGGGCGTTCTCCAATCGCTTGACGGACCGCATTGCTTCCCGTCCTTCGCGGCCTTTGAGACCGAACTAAAGGCAATGTTCCTGCCGCCCAACAGCGATGTTCGCTATCGCTCGAAGTATCTGGCATGCAAGCAATGGAAACGTCCCCTCCAAGAGTTCATCCATGACCTTCGCTTCTTGGCAGCGAATATTAACGATGAAGAATCACTCCCGGAGTTCCTGCGTGTGGCTGTTTACATGGACGGTCTCGACCAAGGCCCGGCGCGCACCCAACTGTTTCGCGCCTACCCGGACACCTTCGAAGAAGCCGTCCGCATCGCGCTTTCCGAGTCGGTTTCCTCATCTTTCGCGCACGCACGCGCGGACTCCTCGGATATGAATGTCTCCATGTTTACCCAGGCATTGGACGACCGCACGTGTTTCAATTGCGGTCGCCCTGGATACTTTTCTCGCGCATGTCCGGTACCAAGCCGTGTTGGCGTCAACCGCGCCTATCTCACACGGTTCCTCCCGTGCCGCGCCAGATACACACTCGCGTCGTCCTCCGAGCGGTCCACCTAACCGCTTCAATCGCGAACGTCACGGCACCTCACGCTCGTGTTTCCGCTCCGCTCCGGGCTCGTGTGCGGCGGGGAAAGGTCGCCCCCAGTAGGGCGAGGCGACCTACTGGGGAGACACTATGTCCTTTGGAGGTGTGTGGCGTGTTGACACACTCTCAGGACCTAGCCTCGGACACGGACCTTCTTCTGTGTCGTGTTGGGCTCCAACCTAACAAAATGATTTGCTTGGAACTTGTCGCACCTGGCTTTCCGGCCAGGCTCTCTGCTTTAATCGATTGTGGGGCGTCAAACAACTACGCCAGCCGCTCCACTATCACTCGCCTCAACTGCTTACCCTCTTCGGATTCTTCCGACAGGGTTTGCGTTAAGATGGCCGTCGGCCACACTGCGTCTAAACCACGCATCATCGTCGACTTCCTATCACCTTCGACGGTTTCGACTCGGTCGAACCGTTCTATGTTATCGACCTCGATGAGAGATGGGATCTCATCATCGGAATGTCCTGGCTGGAGTCCCACCAGCCTTGGATTAATTGGAAGGCAAAATCTGTGCACAAGGGTACTTGGCTCAACGCGAGCTAACCCTGGATTCATCGGCGGGCTGCCGATCGACTTCCCCCGTCCACGACAAACCCACTTGGTCTTCCGTTCGTGGCGATGAGTAATGATCTCGCCCCTCCTAGCCCCGCAGCGCGCTCGGTGGGCCCAGCACCCACGGCCCCAACGGCCCGGCCACGGTGCTGCACAACCCCATTTCGTTCCCCCAACAGAGTCGCCCTATGTTGTCATCGGTCAGGCTCCGTCATCGCCCCCAATTGCTACCTCGACCTTGGCAACCATGTTTATCGAAGAAATGTGTAACTTGAACGAACTCCCTCGGACGGTCCTCCGAGATCCTGGCACTGCCGGAGATGAGCTTCCACTTGCTCTCCGCGCCCACGATATCGCCGCGATGGCGATGATCACTATCGAAGAAGAGATGGATCTCTTTTCGACCTCGACCGCGGATGACTCGGTCCTCGCCGCACCTTTGAAGTCCCAGACGTGGGACTCCCTGCGGTCCAACCGCTATTACGACCTCCTCAAGGAATTTGAGGACGTCTTCCCCGACGAATGCCCTGCCGCCTCCCCGTCGACAAGGGCGTTCAACACGAGATTGACCTCGTGCCCGGCGATAAGTATTGCGTCACTCGGCAATGGCCGCTGCCTCGCGACCAAGTCGACGCCATCGACGCCTTCTTCGCGGCCTACAAGGTGACGGGTCACGTCCGCGAGAGCATTTCCCCTCAAAGCAGCCCGACCTTCTGTGTGAAGAAGCCCGGGGGGGAATGGCATATAGTACACGCCTTCAACAAATTGAACGCGGTCACGATTCCGGCACATACGCCGATTCCTCGCAAAGACGTTATTATCGACGGCATGGGTCGATCTACCAGTTTCTCCACCATCGACCTACGCGATGGGTTTTACCAAATCCTGATACGTCTGTGCGACGTCCCTAAAACGGCAGTTCCACGCCGAGCGGCATGTTATGGGAGTGGCTGGTCATGCCACAGGGACTCTCCAACTCCCCGGCGACGTTCAACTACATGGCCACCGCGAAGTTCCGCGCGTTTCGCGACTTCGCACTGTCGTACTTTGAAAACATGTGCTGTACGTTCACAGCTGCACTTCGACGGCGCAGTCCGATTGCGACGTTCACCGCGGCCACCTTAGCCAGGTGAAGTCCTCCGTGACAACGGACCACTGGTTTTTCGCCCCATTTTGCGGTCCATCTTCAACACCCTCGCCTCCCTCCGATGCTCGATGGTTCGGTCTCAAGTGGGGGTGGAATTACTTCGCGGCTCTCTTCTGTGGGCGTACTCCCCAACGCCCCCAGCCGCACTTTCCAAACCATCCAGAGCTTCCTCACCCGCCAAGTCTCTGTCATGCAACATATCCAAGACAGCATCGCTACCGCTCTACAGAGCTAATCAACTCAAGCCAAGAAGCATGGCCGTTCAAACCTCGCGTCTTTCGCCGCTGGCGACCAAGTTCTCCACAAGTCAGCGGTACCCGCCCATGCATTCCGCACCCGCGCGGTTGGAATGTCCTCCAACGTCTCCTCAAGGATGCTCCTTGGGTTTGGGATTCCGCTTGTCCGTCGGCCTTCGAAGGCCTCAAAACCAACCTTCAACGCGCCCCGATCGTGGCGCTCCCAGACTTCGACAAACCTTTCTCCGTCGTCTGTGACGCCTCGCAGTTTGCCATTGACTGCTGCCTGATGCAGTTCGACGCCTCCGGTCGCCCTCGCCCGGTCTCCTAGCAAAGCCGCCAACTTCACCCGGCTGAGCGGGCGTATCCAGTTCACGACTTGGAACTTCTCTCCATGAAGTACACTCTAACCAAGTTCCGAATCTACCTCGGCGGTGAACCGTGGTTTACACCCATCATGCGTCCTTACGCACGGCGACCAACACACCGCACATTTCGCAGCGCATGGCGCGCGGGATTTCGTTCTTCTTCAAATTCACCTTCTCGGTCCAGTACAAGCCCGGGAAGGACAACTTTCTAATGATCTCGAACTGACCACGATCGGATCCGCGCGGCGTACCCCTTTGACGCTGACAGCTTGTCGCGCCTGGCGGTGCTCACCGACCCCGTTTCCCACAAACCGCGCCGCTCTTGCGCCGTGGTTGACAACGCCTCTTGACACCGAGGAGGTGACCGCCCAGACACCGCCGATCACCAACGGGATCTCGAACGCCCACACGACCGCGATCGTGAGATCGCGATGGACAGCGATGGGTCAGCGATTGGCTGTGCGAGTCGGGCCAACTACAACTTGGCATCCAAAAGATTACATCAAGCAAACCTTACCTCGGGTTCGCGCCGCATATACACGATGGCGGCGATCCGCGCGAACAGAACGAGCGTCCAAACGCCCATGCTTCTGTTGCCGCACCCCGGCAAAATTAGACAGCGAGGTGGCCAACCGCCCCGCTGTCAGCGGTAGCTCCTATGCCACCCGCTGCCTTGTCCATCAAGCGTCCACACAAACGCTACAAAATACTCAAGCAATGTCTCATCATTGCAAAGCTCGATCCGCCCCACGTCCACAGTCCAGCGCTCCAGGCGCTCCCGTTCATACAACTCGCGCATTGCGCCCTTGAACTCATCGAACCGGTGAAACCGCACCCTCGCAAGCTACATGCCTTCCAAGGCCAGAAGCATCCACAACACCCGCAGCTCAAACGATTGGCCGCTAGCAAACAAGCGCAGGTACCGCTCCACGACGGCAGCATTGGCCGTCTGGTATCCCCAGTCATCACGCGTTTCGTCGAACTCGCCCACCACTGTCAAACGGCGCGTGATGTCGCGCGTACCCCAAGCCCACGCCACCCGGCAGGCGTGAAGATTCGGGATCGATCCCAGTAAAACCCCAACTCTCGCTCGGACACTTCGTCTCGAGCGAGGCCGGCCCGCTCCGGCCCACCAACTTCGGCCTTCACTTTGGACTCCGTCATCACGGCGGCTCCCTTGACACTCGCCTTCCCTTGCTTTCCCCCGGCGCCTGCAGCGTCGGGATGTCCCCCATCACCCGCTGGTGTCCCAGTCACATCGCCATTGGCTGTCTTTGTGGCTGCTTCGTCAGCCCTTTGGCTGTGACCGCTGCGATCACCTTGGTCGCTTAGGTGCGCTTTGGCTTCGGTGTGCATTGGCCTTCGCTTTCGCCGCTTCGGCGGCTCTCGCCTTCTTGGCTGCCTCCTCCCGTACCAAGTGCTGCTCCAGCAGCTTCTGCACACCTTTCTCGCCCACTGAATGCATGGCGCTCTTCACCAACTCCGCAGCCGCTTGCTGCTCCAGCTGCCCAAGCCATTCGCGCTTCACGACTACCTTGGCCTCCCCATCGGCCTTGCGATGCGCCACTTCGGCCTCATCTTCAGTCGGCGCCGTCATCGACCGACACGGGTGTGAGGTCCACTACCTCTTCTTGTGGTGCCGGCGATTCGGCCTCTTCCACTCTGTCGTCAGCATCCTCAGCGATTTCCCTCGCCTTGCGCTTGCTGCCTTCGTCTGCCATCTCCAATCTCAACTTCGGTGTCACATTTCAGATTCTTTCCCAAGCAAAAACGCAACTCGGCAATGACACGTCCTATGGTTACCTGGCCGAACCCAAGACATTCCCGGATGCTGGTCCTGACTTTATGTCGTGTTCCGCTGCGTTTCTTTCCTTGTATTGCATGAAGTACTGGTGGCATTTGACCACACGAATATTCTGCAGGAGTGCGCGTGTGTTTTTTCTCCATAACGTTTTCTAATGAAGGCCAATTGCAAATGCAAGAGATGCTAAATCAAGCTCACATGATTCTGTGTTTACCAGTCGTTTCACATGTCGTATTTATATATATTACAGTTTGTATCGGTCGTGTATCATCCCCATTGTCCCCTACAATAGTAATCCTATAATCCTGTTGTGGAACGTATTAATAAAGTAACTAATTACTTACTATACATAGTTTACATGTTAATAGGACTGAACAGTACAGTAATACTGCTACGTACTGTACCCTACTGTACTACCGTAACCAATGCACTTTGCTCGTGAGATGTCGTACTAGTGAAGCCCAGTTCCAACTACTAAATTACAAAGTGCAAGTCTATTCACTACAAGTTCGGCTTGTCGTCCATTCTGACAATACTGTCGCTCGCTTTGGGTACCTCCTCTGAAGCGACCAATGCGTCCCATATGGCCCAGAACGTGTCGACGAAGAGGCGATCGGACACGGGGATGCCATTGATGCGAAATCGTTCGTTCGGAAAGATCAGATGCGGGGACGTGAACAATCCAGTCTTGGCTCCATGGGCGCGCAGAATGCTCTCAGTGAAAGCACACGTGGAGCCTTTTCCTTTGGTGCCGGCCACATGCACCACCGACAGCGTCGACGCATCCACGTTTGCCTGTTTCATGTAATGCCGCATCATGGCATTGGCAGATTCACGCGTCCATGTACCCGCCGCCGGCATGATGTTTCCAGGGCTGTTGGGCATGCTTAGCAACATGTTCATGGCGCCATCTATGCCACTACCTCGGAACGCGGCAATGTCATCAGCCGAGTACTCATCGACGCTGGGCATTATCGCGGCTTTGATATGACACGGGACGAGCGCGCCCGTCCGCATCGACCTGCATCAGACTACATCCAATTGCGAATTTGGATGTGTCGCACACAACCGAAAATGGACGCCCGAAGTCAGGGAGCGCCAGAATGGGCGCACGTTGTAGGCTGGTCTTGAGGGCGTCGAAGGAGGATTGGCTGGAGTCCTGCCACACCCAAGGAGCGTCTTTGACCAAAAGACGATACAACGGTTGAGCGAGGTCGGCGAAGTTCGCCGAGTATTTGTGGAGGTAGGTGGCGAGTCCTAACCACCGCCGGAGGTCGTTGACGGAGGATGGGGTGGGCCAGTCCACAATGGCCTGAATCTTGACAGCCGCGTACACCCACCAAGTCACCGAGAACAGGGATTTCGTCGACGCCAAAGAGACATTTGGCGAGGTTGGCATAAAGGCCGTTAGCACGGAGGACTTCGAAAACTGCGAGGAGGTGACCGCGGTGTACGTCGGCGGCCGAAGAGGTTGCCGACGCGCGACTGTGGATGTAGATATCATCGAAATATGAGGGGGCGAAGTCGCGCAGGGCGCGGAACTTCGCGGTCACCATGCGGTTGAACGTGGCGGGGGCGTTGGAAAGCCCCTGTGGCATCACCAGCCACTCCCAGAGCATGCCACTGGGGGTTGATACCGCTGTCTTGGGCACATCGTCCAAACGCATCAGTATTTGATAGAAGCCATCGCGCAAGTCGATGGTGGAAAAGATGCTGGAACGGCCTATGCCGACAATGATGACAACTTTTTCGGGGGATGGGTGTTTGAGCCGGGATGGTGGCGGTGTTCAGCTTGTTGAAGGCGTGAACAATACGCCACTTACCGTTGGGTTTCTTGACACAGAACGTAGGACTACTGTGTGGCGAAATACTTTCGCGGACATGTCCGGCGGCTTTGCGCGCCGCGAAGAACGCGTCGATAGCTTCCACTTTCTCGCGGGGAAGCGGCCACTGCCGCGTGACACAGTACTTCGTGCCCGGCAGGAGATCAATCTCGTGCTGTACGCCTTTGTCGACAGGGAGGCGACTAGGAACTTCGTCGGGGAAGACGTCCGCAAACTAGCGGAGGAGGTCGAAGTATGGGTTCGTACGAAGGGAATCCCACGTCTGGGATTTCGCTGGCGGTGGTAGAACCGAATCGTCCGCCGTGGACGTCGAGAGGAGATCCAATTCTTCGTCGATGGATATCATAGCGATACCCCGGATCTCTTGGGCACGGAGGGACGCGACAAACGCGTTAAAACTCATCTCCGGCAGTGCTAGGATCTCGGAGGATGTCCGAGGCAACTCGTCCAGGTTGCACGCTTTACAAACTAGCGTATCGGCGGCGATCGTCCGTGACGATGGCGGGCTAGGGACAGCGACAGCAGAGCGCGACTCTGCTGCGATAACAGGGGACGACACCGGAGTCGAGACTTGCGAGCCAAGC